TGAGCTGTCTGGAGACCCAGGAGAAGCTCAGCGTGAGCAGCCATGTGGGAAGGGCGGCCTGAGGTTTTCACCTACAGAGCCTGTGGGCGCACTTTCTCCGATGTCTCTTAATCTTCTATGGGAAGGGAAGGTCAGGTCAGGGCCTGGAATTCCTTGAGAATTCCTTAAAAATTTCTGGTTCCGGACTAGGAATTATTTATGTTCTTTGTATAATATACAGTTGCTTTTCTGGGCCTCCCTTGGGGGAAAACAGTCAGCATCAATTACTTTCATTTTTTTTTTCAGGAAAACAAAACAAATCTGAGCCAGTATTTGAAGGCAAAGGATTATGGACTTGGATAAAATGTTCAGAGCCCATGGATCTTACCACCCATTTTTAGAGTGGGTCTTCCCACTGCAATTAACTCAAGCTAGAAAATACTTCATAGATAACACCCAGATAACACCCAGGCAGTTCTATAACCTGTCACGTTGACAATCTAGATTAACCATCACAGTAGGGGAAGTGTAGGTACAGGGCAGGAGTCCCATAACCCAGGGAACCCTGGTCATGGGGCATCAACTGTGATATGCGCTATGCAAAAATAATGACAGGAAGTTGGATAGAATGGGGCTGAAGTGGAACAGCCAGGAGGCCGGATGCTGGCAAGACCATGGTCAGGAGGATCCTTAGAGTGTATGAATATATTCAGAGAAGGAACCAGTCATGAGAATTGCCAAGGATCATTTCCAGGTAGACCCTTCAGGGCCTCAACAGAGCACTGTGGGGAAGAAGTCAAGTCAGGGGAACACAGACTCAGTTGAAAATGGTAACAGTAAGAAGATGCTTCTGTGGGCTCCTTGTCTCCAACTCACAGCTCTATCGATCCCTCTGTGATAATATGTACGTATCACAGATTGCATGTGGTGTGCATGTGTGTGTGTATGCATATCCATACCTTTAAGCTAACTAAATTTCAGACATGTAGCATAGGCACATGTACCCTAAAGCCTCATTTATCAGGTGAAAGGTCTTCACGATGAATTTTGTGACTATAAACAGATGCCACCTCATCAATTACCACCACCTCCCCTGAGGCCAACACAGCCAGTCCATCACAGTACCTCTCTCCCTCCCTCTCCTGGATATTCTTGACATTGTGTTGGGGACAGGCTTACCAATGAATGATAAAGCAGGGGATCGGGATCTTTGGCTCCTGTGGGTGCATGCCCAGGATCCTCTCTGATATTTTTGTATCTGTGTCCTGTCACACAGAAAAGAGAGACAAGATAGATCTTGTCCGTCAGAACAGGGCAGGAATGAAATATTGATGCCCCCTAGTCAGAAGGTGACAGCATTGAAGGGGCTTTAGAAAAAAGCACTCAGGTCATACTCATACATGAATCGTGAATCATGGTCGTGGGTATTTCAGATGCACTTTTGACTACCTGTGACATTGAAGGTATGATCACACATATTGGCTGAGGGCGGATATTTGGGTGTGGAGAATTCACGTGGACTTAAGTGAGAGCCACACTAAGAATTAGTGTTCTAGGCCAGCAAGGAACTCAGAGTACAATAAAATTAGGAAAAGGGAGAGCGAGCAAAAGAGAGAGGGAGAAAAAGAGAGAGGAGAGAGAGACAGAAACAGAGAGAGTGAGAGAGAGCGCTCTGCATGAAGGTGTGAGAACGAACTGAGTTAGAGGCTATACCAACACTTCAAGGAAGAGCAATGTGAAGTCTGACTGTGGGGTGAGAGTCTGTAAAGAACTGGAATTCACAACAATTTTGTGTTCTTCAGTTGAAGGTGGGACTTGATTTGCCCTCCCATAGCAGCTTCTGCCTTCCTGGGGTTCATCTGTATCTAGTCACCAGCAAGTGACCTTACCCACAGGTACCTGGTCACCTCTGGACTCCCCTCACCTGCTGCTGCTGTGTGGTTTACTTCATGGTGCCCACTGTGTCCTTCCTTGAACTCTGGACGACATACAAGAACTGTTATAATAAAAAGAGCTTAGGGGCCTGGAGAGATGGCTGTCAGTAAAGTACTTGCTTTGCCAAATGCAAAGATCTGAGTTTGATCCCCAGAACCCATGTGAAAAGCACTGGGGAGGTGGGTCCCTGTGACTCTCTGGCCAGTCAGTCTAGCCTCCTTGGTGAGCTCCAGGCCAATAAGAGATTTTGTTTCCAAAGCCAAGGTGGATGTCCCTAAGGAATGACACCCACCTGTGCATACATGTGCGCACATGTGTGCATGCCCACAAGACCACATACACAGATACACATAGAGAGAAAAGAGCTCACAGAATACATCATAGGCCTGTGTAGTCACAAGAACACCTGTAGTTATTTTGCTTAATGACCCAAAACACAAGAGTAGAGATGTAGCAATTTTACTATAATGCATTATTTTATTTCTTTATAGTTGATGATTGTTGTCAATCTCTTACCGTGCTTAATTTATAGATTAAACTTTATCATAAGCATGTATGTGTAGATTACAAAACAAGTATATATGTTGTACACCCACTGGAGATGAGGGGCCACTGTACCCATTCTGTGCTATTGGCCAGCAGGATATGAGTTAGTGTTAACTACAGGAAGTGAACAGCAAAGCCAGCTACATTTACGTCTACGTGGAGTGAATGAGTCACTTGTCATTATTTGTGGTGCGCTGTTTAAAGTTGAATTCCCCATAGTGCAATAAAAATACCAAACTCCTGATATGGAGGTTGGAAGAGGATGAGGTTAATTCATGTTAATTTAGATTATTCATGGGAATCCAAGCAGTGCTGTACACACTTTGCCAAAGGCCAGGCTGGCTAAGATATCACTTCCCCAACCTCAGTGACCTTTAAGTTGGGTTTTTCCCAACTTCAGCTTGTTTAATTGCGTCTGTGAAAAATGCAGTTTTTAGAGATGTTCACTTTCAGAGCTGCATCTAAGGAAGTTTACCGATGCCAAAAACGAAGGGAAGCTACGGGTTTGCTTTCTTGTATACAGACCTGAGAGGTGAGAAGGCATCTTAGCCTGAGTACATCTACCCCACCTCCTCATCAGCTCATCTCATCTGTGTTCCCTTTCTCCAAAGATGAGCTATGTAGGCAACCTGGTGTCTAAGCTTCAAGTTTAATCATGACTTCATATCATTGCTATACACAGGCAGGTGTCCCAGTCTCAGCCGTGTTGTCACACTCGTTGGATAATTCTTTGCATGGGATGTTGTCCTGACACTGCAGGATGTTAGGTGGTATCCTCTTCATCTGTTAGTTCCTAATGGCACTCCTCCTCAGGTTTTTCTTTTGCTCTGTTTTTTTTTTTTTTTTTGTGTGTGTGTGTGTATGTGTGTGTGCCTGAGGCTGACATTGGGAGTCTTTATCACTCTCTACCTTATCCATTGAGGTGGGATCTCTCACTCGAACACACAGCTTGCCAATACTGTTAGTCTGTCAAGTCAGCTGGCTCCAGGGATTCCTTGTCTCTGCCTTCTGAGTTCTAGAATCACACGGTGCTCATGATTTTGTGGCAGGTGCTTTACACACTGGGTTATCTCCCCAGCCCTCTTGCAAGTTTTGGTAGTCAAAATTCTAGTCATTGCCAGGAGCGGCCTCGCTCCTGATTGGGAACTACTAACAGGAAGGCTTAATTTTATATTTTGTTTTTTAAGAAGTGGGAATAATTTCATACAGGTTTCTTCCAACTAAAATTATTATTTTTATTTGATGTGTACGAGTGTATTGCCTGCATGTATGTGAGTGTACCTGTGTCGTGCAATGCTGCGGAGGTCAGAAGAGGGCTTCGGATTCCCCTGGAACTGGAGTTAAGGATGGTTCATAGATGCCATGTGGGTGCTGGGAATTGAGCCTGGGTCCTCTGCAAGAGCAGTCAGTGCTCTTAACCACTGAGCCATCTCTCCAGCCCTCAGTAATGACTTTTATTGGCTGCTTAATATTGTGTGGGATGGACGCGGCATGGTGTCAATGCTTACCTTGTCATGCTCTCATCATGGAATAGACAAGGGCTCTGGTCCTTACCCTCATCCAAACACCAGGCTGCAACTTGTATTTTGGTACCTAAACTTTTACAGATTCCCAGAAATGGAATGATATTCATTTAAAAAGACAACTATCGATTGTCTGATGATGGCATTTGGAGAAAGCTGTAAATTGTGTATAAATTGTGTAAGGCTGATCTGATTCTGAAACCTCAGTGGACAGTAGATGTAGATTATTAGAGTGACTTTTTTATATTTTATTATTTTTATTTTATGTGTATGAGTGTATTACCTGCATGTAGGTAAGTACACCCGTGTTGTGCAATGCCTGCGTGGGACAGAAGAGGCCATCGGATCCCCTGGAACTGGAGTTATGGACAGTTGTTAGCTGCCATGTGGGTGCTGGGATTCGAACTCGGGATCTTCTGCAAGAACAGCCAGTGTTCTTAACTGCTGAGCCATCTCTCTAGCCCCTAGAGTGATTTTTTTAAGCTGGAAAAGAAATATGAATATATTTATGACTTAGCTTTTTTTGGTCCTAAAAATAGGAACTCCTTGTGCTGGAAGAAATTTGGATTTCCAGTTCAGTTAGTAGACTGTTCAAATTTCATATTAGTTAAGTTTTTGAATGACAATATCAATTTAAATGGTGAGGAAAAAACTATGCCCACAGTGTTATTTTTTTTCTATTAACAATATAACTAATGTTAAGTATTTTAGGGCCAGAAATGGAAGCTGAAGCAGGGACTGGAGTAAAGCTGTATTGGGTGATATAAATAATATAATAATAATAATAAACAACATACTATGTGAGTTTCCTTAGCATTGATATCTACCTGAAACTCTGGGTTGAACTCTTATACTCAAGTCAGTTCAGTCTGAATATGATGTCAATATCAAATGACTAATGGATATTGTTCTGTTTGAGACTTTGGATCATTTTAATACTGTTTGATTCCTCTGTTGCTAGCTCGGCTCAGCCTTTAAGTAGCTTGTATTCACTTCTTCTATTGTTTACCCTTTTAGAGACTTCAGCTGAAAGAGGGAAAACAGCTTGGCCTTAGAATTCCAAGATCATACTCCACGGTAAGAAAATGAATTCTTTTTGACTATTTGAGTGACTCGGTGAGTCTGACATTTCTGATGGACACAGTGCTATAGGGAGAGTTGTCTTCTGTGAGCAGAGGCTGCTGGAATCTTCACTGGCTTCAAGTGTGTTGTGCAGAAAGACAGATCTAAGTCCAAATGAGGCAAAGTGTTTGTTTTACTGGGTTCACTTTAAAAACAGACAAATAATGCATGCGTGCTGAGAGTGGAATTTCGCGCTGCGGTCCCTGCTGCAGTGGAGTCAGGAGGTGCTCTGTGGACTGCTGGAGTAGCTGTGTAGCTCCCAGCCTCTGTGGAGCTTCTGGGCTTTGCTTGATGCCTCTTGATGGCCCAGGAATAAGTTGTTCTCCGTTTCACTCCTGAGTTATACTTGGGCAGCTCCAAATCCTCTTTTTTCTTACATCATTTCTCCTAATAAGAAAGATTCTCTGAATGCCCCTTCGGTGTTTGGGTGTAAAGCTGACTTGCAATTGAGCAACTCCATCTTCTGTGTTTTTGTTTGTTATCTTACATGGGATTAATTATAAATGGTTTCCATTTAAAATGATAAATTTTATCACATTGTAGTATATTTGGGGAAAGAGATATTTCAAAAATTTATTTCATTGGTAATTTAGCACAGCAAGTATTACTGTTTTTTTAAAACAATTTCCAATGACCATCCTGTCATTTTCACATAATTGGAAAATATGACTCCTAATAATTTATATTTTAATATATATGCACACATGTGGCAAATGATATGTATCTATGTCCTACCCTCCCAGGGCAGCTGGTTTTCTTTCCAGGACACACTTGATATCTCTGGTTTTCTGACTCATTGGGCCTTTTAGAGTATTTGCTCTGTTGGTAATTGATTCTTTCTAAGCAGTGCTTCAGTGAACACGTTTCTGCACGCCATTTCTCATGTGTGAGCATTCAGGCTGAAGGAAAGGTCTGCTACTCAATATATAAAACAAAACTCTGTACTAGCTTCTGAACAAGGGACAAAAGTGATTGGGGTACATGTCTATCAAAATGGGGCAAGAGCTGATTTTATGTAGAGTTCTGGGGTGCACTGAGTTTGGGAATCGAAACACCTTATGAGAAAGTATCTAGGGATTAGTTAATGTTTGATTATGAAGGCTTAGTAATGAGTGTATGCCTGCTGCTTTTGACTGGTTTTCAGAATTGCAGGGCTATAGTTGATTGGTTGGTTATAAGGAGCATTCCTAAGGCAAATTTTCAGTTTGATAACCCAGGTTATCATGGTGACATGTTTATGATAACCTCATGACATGGTCAGAGAAGAGCTAGCCTTTTCATTTCTTGAATTTCAAGAATAGGAACTTTAAGTTCTTAACTGCATGAAGAAGCATCAGGAAATGGAGCCGCTAAATGAGAATGTGTGCCCACTCTTTGTGGACTTCCAAGGACTGTTAGCAGTTTGCGTTCCCACTGGCAAGAATAACAGGGCTCGCCAAGTTTTTGACCTTTGTTACATTGTAGATAAAATATAAGTATTGTTTTGTCTTGGAATTTTAAATAATCTGACTTCCAAGAATAAATTTGATGTTTTTTGACATAAGGTGTGTGTATCCTGGCATGCTCCTCCGTGTGTGTGTTTGTGGAAGATAGAGGTTGCCTTACTTTTTGATATGGTCTCTCGCTGAACCTGGAGCTCACCAGTTGCCTAAACTGGCTGGCCAGTGAATCCCCAGGATCTGCCTGTCTCTGCCCCACAATGCTGGGACTATATACATGCTGCTTCCAGCTTTGATGTGGGTGTTGGGGATCCAAACTCTGATCCTCAGGCTGCTTCAGGAGGCACCTTACCCCCTGATTTATCTCCCCAGCATAAAACTTTAAACATGGTAAAAACTATCATGTCAATTATGTGCATGTGTCTGCCGTCATCTGGCCTTTTCAATCGAGGTCCTACACAATATTGATTTTTAAGGACTTTTTATGTTAATCCTTCACATGAAAAGTTGTAAGTATCTTCCACAGTATGGTGTGTTTTAATTTTCCTCACAGTATTCAGGCAGAGAGTACATGTAAAGACTTACTTTGACACAGTTGGATTGACCCATTAATTTATTGACTTCTGGGTTTTATGTTATATTTGGAAAAACTCTCACTTATAGATTATATTTTTCTTTCCTTTTTGTTTTAAAGATTATATCGGAGGGGGCAGGGTAGGGGACATTTGTACCTTGGCATACATGTTAAAATCAGAGGCTAATTTGAAGGAGTCAGTTCTCTCCTTCTACCATGTGTGTCCCAGAGATGGAACTTAGGTCCTCAGACCGGGTAGCAAACACCTCTTCCCACTGAGCCGTCTCACAGCTCTGGAGAGTCTATTTGCCTTTCCATGACACTCTAATGGCTTCAGTTTCATTTATTCTTCTGTAATTCACATGGGCATACATATGAGGGATGAATAGAACTTTTCAGTTAGTTACATAGATGTCTAATTACTATTCTTAATATGTTATTTTCCTATCGCTTTGATTATCATCTTTGATCCAAACTAAATGTTAATAGTGTGTTTACTTCTGGTTTTCTCATCTGATTCATTGATTAGGATTCATATATTTTTTCATTTATTATGATACTCTGTTTTTCTGTGTTTAGACTTTGTGCTAATTACTGTGATAATTACATTGAATGAATGATCTGTGACTTACTCAGAAAATCTTTCTTTCAACATTCAGCATTGGATGGAGTTTGCTTACAGATCAACAAATTATTTCCTAAAACTTTATCTCAGTATATTCCATAAGCCACCATTGCAGGGGCTGTTCTCCCTGGGGTCCTCTCCTGCCCATCATTTCATATGTGGCAATGGATGTGTCCATGGCCCTGTATCTATCTCTCCTCCTATATAACAGGCAAACCTTGCTGCCTACAGACAGCTTGAGACTTTTACTTGTGTAATAAAATAATAAAGATCCTTCAGAAAACAGGTGTTTGTTATGCTATAATAGCATTTGTTGGAGCTTGGATATTTTTGATTGAGCTATGGTACTGAAAAATTTAAAGAAACATCTCATACTCAGTTGAAAAATATGTGATTTCATTTCCTAATATACTTGTTCTGAAATCAGGGGCTGTTCCTGCATGGGGTTCAGAAGCATTGACTAAATCATGGCAGTGCTGTAACTGTGCATGTATAGGTGTGTAAGAGTGGATGAGAACAGGAGTAGATTTGTGCATGGCTCTGCTTTCACAGGAGGATAATCCTAAGAAGTATTTGCTTCTCCGGTCTATTCTATCACTCTGATTTCTATTCGTCATTCAAATGATTCTGTTGACTTACACTGAAAGAGAGAGAGAGAGAGAGAGAGAGAGAGAGAGAGACAGACAGACAGACAGACAGACAGACAGAGATAGAGTATTAGAAGCCAGTCCCGTCCAAGGTCATCCAAGGTCACTGAAGTGAGGTTTCAACCCAGAATCAAATTTCTTTTTCCTCGACTTGAGCTTGCTTTACTGAGTAGGGACAGGGACCTTTGAAGGCAGGCAGTTTCCAGCTGTGCATTAATTTAGAGGAGACCTTCCTCTGCAGACACTAGGTACTTTCTCCAAAGCATTCTAAAGCACAATGGTCCACATTTATATGTAGGATTAGTTGTTTCTTAAGCAATTTTGAAATTATTATTCAACTTAGGTCCTCGCTGGCTTATACTAGCATGAAGAGGGCTAATGCCACGGGGGGGGGGTGTAGTTACCCACCTGAGATCACATGGTAAGTCATTGGTGTGAAAAAGAAAAGAGAGGTCCATAAAAAGTGAATATCATTTCAGTGAACAATCCTTTAGAGCATGAGGTCATTGTTATGATTCATAGGGTGGAGGCAGAAGACACCAGTAAGCCCAATAGTGTGTGGCTGTTCAAATGATTTCCCACCATAGAATTAAAAAAAAAAAAACAATAGAGGAGAATCAAGAGTGGCCAGATGGGTTCTTGCCTCCTGCTTTGTTTCTGCCTCGGACAAGTGCCACAATTCACTACAAACTCTGGAAAAAGAAATTGAATTTCCTTATTTCCATGAATGTTGCTAGCTTTTCCTCCCAAGGGTTGATGGTAGGGAGCAGTAATAGAGAACACAGAGACTCAGTATGCATGAACTCTACATGAAGGTTTTCTAGTCATCATATCTGCTATGTTCACTCTTTCTAGGGAGGAAAAATAAACATCTATTCACTTTAGATGGGCAGTTACAACAGACCAAAGTGCTACTTGACAGAAGTCCACCTTGGTGAGATCAATGAATTAGTTGAGCTTTCTTAAAGAGCATGGCTGAGGGGTTACTCACAGGAACATGGGAGACCCCCAAACAACTGCATCACCACAAAGCCCTACCCCATAATTGATGATAGTTTTGTGAAGTTGAATCATGGAGTCCCTATTTCAGTTAGATTTCTGCTTCTATATTTCCAGTATCTCCCAAGACCCCTTGAAGCTGGGAGGGGAGGAGTTATAGTGGAATCCCAGGTCAGGGTGTCGGGACTCTCCCCACCTCTACTACTAGGGAGTGCCAATAGCTCCTACCATAGACCTGATGGTCACTGTATTTTCTGCTCTAAGTTAATACCTATTCCAATATAGCATCATGTTTTGCCTGGAGGGAAAAGAAAATCTCCATATGATATCCATTATTTAGTGATACCAACTGTTTCATTCTGTGATACTGGGTTTGTGAGCTTTCTATTACTATATTAAATATGTGAGCTCATCAACCTATACAGAAAAATGTTTTGGGTCAGAATTTTAGAGGCTATAGTACAGGATCAATAAGCCCCTTGCTTTGAGCCCGACGAAGCTTGGTGTGGTGGAAATATCTGAGGGTTTGCCATCGCTTGCTTTGTCCTAGGAATTCAGAGACAGAGGAAGACGTGGCAGAGCTTTCACAGTCTCCCTCAAAGGTAAGCTTCCAAAGACTTGAAGCCCTCCTTTAAGCCCCACCTCCGAATGTTCTAGCACTGTCACCCTGG